CGGGCGCGGCCCATGGAGCCTCGGACGGGAGGACGCGGGGCTGCCCGGGGCCCGGGCTCGCATCTGTCCTGCCCCGCGTGAGGCACGAGACGCCAGGCCCCGAGGAGCCGCCGCGCCGCAGGAAGTTGAGGGATCGCGATCCCGATCCCGATCCCGAGTGTGCTTTGGAGAGACAACACCCCCCCCACCCCAGCGCTTCGGGAGGAGCTGACAACATGGCTTCCCCGCCGCACCAGCAGCTGCTGCATCACCACAGCACCGAGGTGAGCTGCGACTCCAGCGGAGACAGCAACAGCGTGACGGTCAGAATCAACCCGAAGCAGCACCAGGGCTGCACCTCTGCCAAGCACTGCAAGTACAGCATCTCCTCCAGCTGCAGCAGCTCCGGGGAGTCGGGAGGCCCCCGCCGGGCAGCTGGAGGAGGGGCAAGCAGCAGCTCTGGTCTCCGCAGGCAGAAGAAGGTGCCTCAGCTCTTTGAGAGGGCCTCGTCCAAGTGGTGGAACCCCAAGTTCGACTCCAACAACCTGGAGGAGGCTTGTATGGAGAGGTGCTTCCCCCAGACACAGCGCCGGTTTCGCTATGCCCTCTTCTACATTGGGGTGGCCTGCCTGGTCTGGGGCATCTACTTCAGCATCCACATGCAAGAGAAATTAATGGTCTTCACCATGCCAGCTCTGGGCTTCCTTTTGGTCTGCATAGCATTTTTTATGTTCACCTTCACTCAGACTTATGCCCGCCATTATGTTTGGACCTCACTGATCCTCACTCTCTTGGTTTTTACTTTGACTCTGGCTCCTCAATTTCAAGCTCTGACAACTCTGTCAGGGAGAGGTGACATGTCCAATCATACTTCTCTTGCAAGAACTGCAGATGCTTCTCTTTCTCAAGTAGGCAGTTTTTCTATGTGTATTGAAGTGCTCTTGTTGCTCTACACAGTGATGCACTTACCCTTGTATTTAAGCTTGTTCCTTGGGTTGTTGTACTCAGTCCTTTTTGAAACCTTTGGTTATCATTTCCGTGTTGAATATAATTTTACGCCCATTGAAGCCAATGCAGCTTATTGGGAGCAGTTGATGAGTAAAACCTTACTTCACATTTGCATCCATGCTATTGGCATTCATTTATTTATCATGTCTGAAGTCAGATCAAGGAGCACATTCCTAAAAGTGGGGCAGTCAATCATGCATGGAAAAGACTTGGAAGTAGAGAAAGCCCTGAAAGAGAGGATGATTCATTCTGTAATGCCAAGGATAATAGCTGATGACTTAATGAAACAAGGGGATGACGAAAGTGAGAACTCCGTTAAACGTCATTCCACCTCAAGCCCCAAAAGCAGAAAGAAAAAACCTTCCATACAGAAAACTCCCATTATTTTCCGTCCTTTTAAAATGCAGCAGATAGAGCAAGTGAGTATTTTGTTTGCAGATATTGTTGGCTTCACTAAAATGAGTGCAAACAAATCTGCCCATGCTCTGGTGGGGCTTTTGAACGACCTATTTGGCCGCTTTGACCGTTTGTGTGAGGATACAAAATGTGAGAAGATAAGTACTTTGGGAGACTGTTACTACTGTGTAGCCGGATGTCCAGAGCCCCGAGCAGATCATGCCTATTGCTGCATTGAGATGGGTTTGGGTATGATTAAAGCCATTGAACAGTTTTGCCAAGAGAAAAAAGAAATGGTGAACATGAGAGTTGGTGTTCACACTGGGACAGTCCTGTGTGGTATTTTGGGGATGAGGAGGTTTAAGTTTGATGTGTGGTCCAATGATGTCAACTTGGCCAATTTAATGGAGCAGCTGGGGGTTGCTGGAAAAGTCCATATTTCAGAAGCTACTGCAAAATATTTGGATGACCGTTACGAGATGGAGGATGGAAAGGTGATTGAACGAGTTGGTCAGAGTGTGGTGGCTGACCAGTTGAAAGGTATGTGTGTTTATTTTGTACTGTTTTTTTTTTAATGCAAGAAGTATAATACTTGTTTCACTTGTCACTGATATATGTTTTGACCACACTTGCAAAATAAGAATCAGTGTTATATGTACAATACAAGTTAGCATTCAGAAACTTACCATAGGGGATGTACAACTATGACACTAAGCTGGTATGATAGATATGAAAGAACGTCTGGAATACTTCATATTTTTGTCAGTGTCAGAATTACTTAAAACTTCCTTGTCGGCATCGCAAGCAGTAGAAAGTGGAATATTAAATGTCTTAATTTAGTGTATCATTTATTAGATAACCTGCTAGTTGACTTCATGTGCATGAAGCTTATATGTTTTGCAAAATGTGTGTTAAACAGTTTGGGCACTGAAAAAGTTGGGTTTTAAAGCCTATAACAGTCTTGCAGTGTTGTTATATTTACCTAGCTGAAAAAGCATTTGGGAAAAATAAGTACTGGATTCACAGAAGAAACTGAACACTGCATATTTGGCAGGTTGATAGCAAGTCATCATAGTTAGAACTTGAATTAGAAGAAGTTACTTGATGTGGTTCTCTGGGGTAGCATATGCTATCATTTCAGAAAGTCTAAAAAGATTTCAGGTATGTACAGCAAATACAGGGAGAAGAATAGATCTTTTCAGTATCTTTCACTACCAAGCACTGCAAGTACAGCATTTTGGCAGGTATCTAAAATTCATTGTTTCATGAAGTTCATTTTAAATGAAGAACCTTGATTTCTTGTATAAAAAAATCAGTCCTTAAAAGAATACATAAATAATAGCCATATTGTCGATCTAATTGTGCCTGTCTTTGAATATATCTTTTGACGTAAAAGTATACCCCTTCATGAGTGCATACATCACAAGCATGTTGATTTCTGTAGTGCCAAATACTGTAGTGCCATATACGTGTGTAGCACAGATGTGTTTTTACTCCACAGACCTTGCAGTCTGAATTGAACTGCAGGCAAAAGGGAGTGCTTTTTGACCGAAAGTACTGCTATTTCATTAAAGAAGGCTATGAAGGACATAATGGAGGGGCAGAACTTATGGGAACTGTAGTAGAGGTTTATGATGGGAAAGGAGAGAGGGAAATCTATTGGTGCTAGCAGGGATGAAAAAAACCATAGAAAGGTCAGTGAGCTAGGAAAATAGGAGAGTGGAGAGAGTAGTGCAAAACAGTGAGATGGCAAATCGGGTAAGTGACAGTGAATTGGTATAATACATTAGGAGCAAGTGGGCATAGTTAAATCATATATGACAAACAACTGTTATGGCAGGACCACAGCCTATCCTTTTGATGAGAACAGTGAGTTCTATGTCCTTACGTTTGCAGTACAGAGGTGATAATATAGCAAACATGGATGGAAAGAGAAATTGGTGGTGATGGAGGGGTTGGAAGCTCCGGAGTCATTTGCCTTCTTTGGACTGCAGTTTTCTATTTTACTACTTTAATGTTTGTGGAAATTCCTGATATAACTGACACCTGAGGATACATTACATTTAATCTAAAGAGGCACAGACCTTGAATATACTTTTTAAAAAACCTTTCCCCCAGCATTGAAAATCTGGCCCATTACTACCTAAGTTGAATAGCCTCTTAACACTGAAAATCATTGAAAAAGTTGTGGGTAGATGGCACTCTCAATTTCTTATACTTAAGATTTCCTTTATTGTTGCCAGTTTGGGTAGAGAGCCAACATGGTACAAAGGCTGGCTTTGTTGTGTTGTACATGCACTTCTAGCACCAGATGAAGATTGTTTTGATGGTGTTAAACCTATTGCTCCCTTCAGTATCATTGAACACAAAGGGGCATTAACATTCCTGTGGAGGGTTGTGAAAATTGGTTGTGTTTACTTATCTAAGAGCTCAGGGAGTGGAGTGTAGAGAAGGTATTGTTTCACCATGAGGATGTTCACCTGTGGCCTCCAAGTTTCCATTTTGCATTACTCAAATGGCCTACACCAAGCCACTAGGAAGTTCAGCAAGGAAGCATGAGTTGTAATGTTTTTAGTGTACTGATGTATCTAGCTATAGATTTTTCACATGTGATTCAGATTGAAGATGAATGTCTTACATTCAGCTATACTATGTCTATTATTTCATCTCCTAGGCCAGAGAAAACTGATTGATTGAAGCCCAATTTAAGTAAGATGGAAGAGCTGGATTGAGATGATAATAGTCTCTGTAGGGTTTAATGTGTCTGTATGAAAGCAGCTGTGAGATACGGTAAAAGTAATCTATCCTACCAATTAAGGACATGCATCTGCTCTGCCTAGCATATGTTTGCATTGGCAGAGGCTGTGCAGATACCTTTTGGGTGACCATTTTTCAGTGATAGGCAGCCATATTAGCCTTTTTCCATTCTTGTCTACTTTTAGACTATATAATTTTTTCTTTTCAAAATGGACTTTGACACTTATAATCCATGCTTGTCTTTCTTCCTGACTGGCTTACTGTAATATGACATACTTGGGGCAACATGAAGTGAGAGCTAATGCAGAACCTGGGAACCTGTTAAGCAACATACTTCTTGTGCAATTTCAGCCAGTGGTTCATGGTCTGCACTGACTGCCTTTGGGTTCAGTAGGTAGTTTACAGTACTGGTAGCATTCTAAAAAGCCCTGAATGGCATCAGAGTTTTCAGCTTGAAAGACTACCTTGCTGGGCTTGAACTTTGGGGAAGTGCTCAAGCTGAACTACTTTCAGTATACAAGAGAAGGGGCTATTGGCATAGCAAATGGAATGTGCCTATTATACATATACTTACCCAGCAGAGAATAGATGATAATTTCTTCTAAAGGGACATTGTCAATTTTAAATATTGCACCTCTGTCTGGATATTTTTACCTAAAAGTACTATGGCTGAAAAATTAGAAATTAAAATTTATTTTAAAATGTTTTACTATGTGTTTTTGACAGTATTTAATGCACAGACAGTTAGGAACAGGAAGTGGGAAAAGAAATAGAGGCTATAAAGATGTGATTTTTTTTTTTAATATAAAATTTGGGAAGGGACTCTGTCAGGTGTAAAACTACAAACCATTTTAACTTAGTTTCGAAATTGAGTAGGTTTCAAATTATATTATAACAAGAACTGAAAAGTGAATGACTTCTTAGATGATGAGCAACATTTTCTTTTGAGCCATTTTGTCCTGGCTTGGCCGAATCCCTGATAATGGAAGAATTACTTTAACGAGGAAAATATGGCAAATGGTTCAAAGTATTTTTCCCTTCTTTCTTTTACAACTTTATCTAGACTTACATAAAAAATAAAAATAAGTGAGTGTATATACTTATAGATGTGTGGGGGTTTTTTTCCTACCCTACAAAACCATCAGCTGATATGCAAGTATGTTGGATGTAATCCTTTCTGTTATAACTAGTGCCGAGAGCTGGTTTGCAACATAGCCAGCTACTTGTTCTTTTCTCCTAATTATTTTTGTTACATGCTCAGGGCGACTGGTTTTGGTATAAAATATGAGGGGAATGTAATAAAGAAACAGCAGTACTACTGGCTTAGTCAAGCAACTGTGCTTGATTAAAAAAAAATCAGACTCTTATTTCAAAAAGTTTTTTTTTTAAATATTTTAAATTGGGAGCAATAAGGAATTGAAATCTTATGTCTCATTCAACAGCTGCTTGTTTCCCTTCCCTTGTCATGTGACCAGGACCAGTGGACAAGATCCAGTTCTGTGTTTGTGAGTTGTTGAAGTGCTAGGAAGATTTTCTTTAACTCGTGATTTGATTGCCTGTAAGAGTGAGAGCAGCCAAAAAGGGGAGTTTGAGGTTTTCACTTTCCAGTCTTTCCCTAACCTTCAGCTTAGCTTTAGGTTTCCATAATGATGACTGTGACAGGGAGCCTGTCCAGGGGGAGCTGTGAAGTACCTGGAGCCCTTTCAGCCCTCACTCTCTATCGCTCGCCACGCCTTGATGTCTTTTACTTTTATATCAGGGAGGCTGCCCCAGGGCTTCTGGAATTGCTCTCTCAAATGACCACCAGGCATCTGTGGCCACTGCCTCATGGGCTAATTGCATAGCTCCAGTCCATCTCTGCACCATGCCCTGTGCCTCACTCACTGATGTTACCTTATACGCAGCCCCTTCTCTGGACTCCTGGAATCCTCTCTGATCCCACACTCTCAGTTGCTCAATAGACTCCTGGACCCTCTCTAGTCCTACACTCTCAGTTCCTCAGTCTAGGCTCTGGATCCCTTCCTGGGTCCTAGAAACCACCCCCTCCTCTTAGTTCCTCCCCAAACCTCTAAACTGCTATGGGCTGTACTCTGTGCTGGCACTCAGGAGCTGCAGCCGTCCTGCTCTGGCAGTGTTCCTTCAGCCGCCTCCAGGATGTTACTTCTGGCTCCTTTCAAAGTCTGGGCTTATCCTCCTCCAGAGTCAGATGATTCCAGAAATTAGCCCTGGCCACAACTCCAGGCTGCTTCAGCCCTATCCTGCCAACTCTTAAGGTGCCAGGAGCACCAAGCCTCCTGCCACACTGACATCTGATTTTTTTGATTCTTTTATACTGCATACTTATTGGACCCTCTGTTCTGTAAAAGATAACACATAGTGGCAAGGTTTCTCAATTATCGTACTACCTACCCATTGGATTTTTAGAAGATCCAATGACACCATTGTAAATAGTTATTTTTCCCTAGGTTTTTTAATTTAGAAATTCCAAGAAACTTAATCTTTCCTTCCTTATTTTTTGCTAAGTCTTCTTGGGTACTAGGAGGAGTGGGAGCTTTCTTGGTCTTTTATTGAAGAAGTAGGGGTGTGGCTTTTAATTGAGAGATTTCTTCTCCCAAAATGTTTGAGAGACATTTGAGATTAAATGGGTGTCAGTTAAACTAACAGGTAAAGAAAGTTATCGATGCCTTAACAATTTCCCCCTCTTTCAGTCTTTTAAAGATTTTGTTGTACTTCTTATCACTGTATCTGAGCCCCCTCCCTGTGAAATAAGCTAAGCAGCAGAA